CTCATTTTGCCTAGGAGCCTTTTCAGGTTTTCATCCTAGCATCTCTTTTAATTTTTCCATCCTTTCCAACTCACTCATCATTTTTTTTGTAAGCCCCTTTTGCTTAGATTGCCCATTTTGTTGGGTTTTCAACCTAACTAGCATTTCTCTTCTTTTATTTATTCTATTTTTTTCATTTTTTTTTGTTTACAAAGAGTAAAAGAAATCCATGCATGGTATAGGGTAAAATAAAATTACATACCATGAGGTGTCTCTCCCCTTCTCAGTCCAAGCAGTCCCTAGTGCCCACCTTCTCCGCCGTAGAAAATGCCTCCAAATCCACCTCCACAGCTCCCGTCGCCCATGTGAGCATCTCCGCCGTCCCCGCCGTCATAACCTCCACCCCCGGAGCTAGATCCTCCAAAATTACCCCATTGAGTGGGGTCATACCAAGAGGAGGGTGGTGGTGGTGGTTGAGCCATGGCGTGGAATTGGTGGAGAAATGAGGGAGTTATGGTAGAGAGAAGGTAGAAAAATGGAGTTTGGGGGGGTTGGTTCGAGGTTGGGATGAGATATTTGGAGAAATCGCAGGGGTACCCGATCGAGTATCCCTGTATACCCGATCGGGTACCGGAGACAGGGGATCGAATATGGGTTTTTCTGGTAATACTCGACCGAGTATTGGTTTATACTCGATCGAGTACTGGAGACAGGGGTCTGGTAGAGTTGATTTTCCAGACACACTCGACCGAGTATAGATGGGTACTCGATCGGGCCTCGGAGGCAGGGTCCCTTTTAGCTCGTCCTTCTGTACATACTCGACCGAGTATTGGTTTATACTCGATCGGGTATGTCCCCAGATACTTCAAAACCTGCACTTTTTTTTTCTTTTCTTTTCCAAAAACACGTGGTTAGTTCCCTCTCTCACCCTCTCAAAACACACAAAAAGAAAATAAAATCTAACTACTTGACTTGGGTTGCCTCCCAAGAAGCGCCTTATTTAACGTCGTGGCACGACGTTTTATTATTTATTTATTTTTATCATTTTATGTGGGATCGTGAACATCCCTTGGTTCATTTCTTTTCTTCAGCCTTTTCCAGTAAGGCCGACCTTTCTTCTTTGTTCCCAACTCAATTAAAACATTTGGTGTTGGTGGTTCAAAAACATTTAAAGAGCAAAGAGATTGATCTTTAATTTGTTTTTTCGTAGAGTCAAAGATATTGAACTCTACTTTTTGGTCATTGAACTCTAAAGTTAATTAACCACTAGACACGTCAATTTTTGTTTTTGCGGTTTTTAAGAAGGGTCTTTCCAAAAGGATGGGTGCTGTTTGGTCATCATTCCCCATTTCGAGGACGTAGAAGTCGACGGGGAAAACCATATTCTCTACTTCTACTAGCACATCTTCTAATACACCCTTCGGGTAAGTACTAGAACAATCTGCTAGTTGAATCACTACACCGGTTGGATGTAGTGGGCCGAGTTGTAGGGTTTTATAAACGGAATAAGGAATGACGTTTATAGATGCCCCTAAATCTAATAAGGCCTTAGGAAATGTGGTGTTTCCTATCGTGCAAGGAATAGTGAACATGCCTGGGTCGCTACATTTTTTTGGAAGCTTTTCCTGAAAGATAGCCGAGACATGCTCACTAACTTCAACCTTTTGTTTCCCCTTTAATTTATCTTTTCTTTTCATTATACATAGTTCTTTTAAAAACTTTGCATAACGGGGAATACTTTGGATTAGTTTAAAGAGTGGGATATTTACCTCACAATCGGCGAAGGTCTCATACATGTCCCGATCATTCTCTAGCTTCCTTGTGTCCTTCAACGCCTCAGGGAATGGAGGGAGTGGCTCATATGATGACAGCGGAGGAAATTTCATCTTCGTTGGTTCCTCCTCCTTGTGGTCAACCTCATCTCTTTCCTCTTCAACTTCCCTTATTTGCAATTCTGGACCACTCCTTATCATGATGGCATTGACTTGTTGCCTTGGGTTTTGCTCAGTTTGGGAAGGGAGCCTACCCGAATCTTTTGCTTCAAGTCGATTCACAGCATTCGAAATTTGGCTAACTTGTGTTTCCAAATTTTGAATGCTTGACTTTGTTTCTTGTTGAAATTGCAACACGTTTTGTTGCAAGGTGCCCATGGTAGTAGCAAGAGTTCGAATCATGTCTTCCGTAGACATACTCGATTGAGAAGGTGGGTTGGCTGGTTGAGGGTTTCCATACCTCAAGTTTGGATGATCCCTCAATCCGGGATTGTAAGAATTTGAGAACGGGTCATACCTCCTTTGTTGGTGGCCTTGGAAACCCAAGGCGTTGACTTGCTCTATGGTGTCTTCTTGAAGGGTTGGGCATGAGTCCGTGGGATGCCCTTGTTGTGTACAGATACCGCAGACCTTGACTTCTTGGGTCTTGGATTTTAAAAGGAAATCCTTGACCAAAGAAGTCAAGCCGGTCACTTGACTTGTCAAGCCGTTCACTTGACTTTCCAACGCATTGTTGGATTCCGCCGCCATAACTCTCCGAGTTGAGGACCGCCCGTTATAGTGTCTGGAGTTCTCGGCCAACTCCGAGATGAGATCTCTCGCTTGTGAAGGGGTTTTGTTGACAATGCCCCCTCCACACGCCACATTCACCATGCGGCGATCTTGATCCACAAGACCATCATAAAAGTAGAGAATGAGGTCTTGTTCGGTATATCCGTGATAGGGGCAACTCGCACATAGCTTCTTGAATCTCTCCCAATATTCATATAGGGATTCATCATCTTTTTGTTCAATGTTGCTTATTTGCTTCTTGAGTGATGATGAAATAGAAGCAGGGTAGTACCTGTCAAGAAAAGCCTTCTTCATTTGTGGCCATGTAGTGATACTTCCCGAAGGAAGATAGAAAAGTCAGTCCTTTGCGGTATCCTTCAGGGAGAATGGAAAGGCCCTCAGTTTGATTTGCTCCTCGGACACACCATTGGGGCACATGCTTGTGCACACAATATGGAACTCCGACAAGTGTTTGTTCGGATCCCCCCCTCGTAAACCGTGGAATGATGGAAGGAGATGAATGAACGCAGATTTTAGCTCAAATGTGACCCCCGTATCAAGAGTTGGAAAAGTGATACATAGGGGTTGTTGATTAAGATTCGGAGCTGTGAGCTCCCTCAATGTTCTCGTCTCAAGAGCCATAGTGATTGGCTCTTCGGTCTCACTAGAATGAGAGCTAGCGCTTGATGATTCCTCCGAAGAAGTATTCGGAAATAAATTCCTAAACCTTTCGAAGGCTTGTTCCGTTTGGGGGTTTGTTTGGTAGATGATTTCGTTTATAGATCGGGTTCTTACCATATATTCAAACAAAGCTCAGAAGAAATAGAAATCTTTATACTTCAACTATTTTTTTTCTTTAAAATGAAATAAAAAGAAAAATAAATTGCCTTTCCCCGGCAACGGCGCCAAATTTGACGTGCACTTTGTCGTGAGTGCACTCAAAATAATTTCAATACTAGCACTAATACGTAGTATAGCGTAGTAGAGTTCGTATCCACAGGGAAAGGAATAACTCTTCTTTTTATGTAACTAGTAAATAAAGGGGGAGTTTTGATCAAATGATTTGATTAAAATTAAACACGAAGATGAACGAGTTATGTGGTTTAATTCAAAGATAAAAGGGACTTGGTATTGCTACTTTCCACTTGTTGATATATTTTAGTCGATCATTGTTATATCTATAACTTATCTCCTCTCGAATACTCAATCGAGGAGTACATCCAATTCATCGAGGATAGCTATCAAACAACGACCGTTCATTAATAACTCTTACTATTAGTCAAGTATAGAACATCGCCATATACCGACTTGATAGTAGCATTTAATTTCTTAACTCCTTGATGAAATCAATTGAGATTGATAACCTCAACACAACGGTTTCGGTTTAACCAACAAAATTAATCCCTCTTAAGTTTATTAACCACGACCGTGCATTAATAAACCGAAGTTACTTACTTGTGAAAATATCAACGATTAACCATCGGTTCGTTGATCGTTTCTAGTAATAATTGATATATGAAACAAAACTAGTTGATCCTTTAAGTAATGTTCAAAATATCAATATGAAATATGAATAGGAATTAATTAATACTCAAGGGAGAATATTAAAGAAAATGAATCCTACTATAGTTAATATCAAGATGTTAACTAATTGTCATCTTAGTAACACTCCCCAATATTAACATAGAGGAAGGAATAGCTATTACTAAGACCAATGTCAAGATGTTAACTAATTGTCATCTTAGCAACACTCCCGAACATTGATATAGAAATAGTATTTAAAGGAAGAATTAATATTCAAGGAAAGAAGTTAAGAAAATAACTCACAACTTTGATAATCAACAAGCTTCAAGAGCAATACCAAGAAATGGAAGTTTAGCTCCTCATTTGGAGACTAAACATGCTAAAAGAAATATAGAGATATGCTATTCTAAACTGAGCTTAATAGTATATATGAAGTGGTTCTTCAAAGTGAAGGAAAGGAGGTGTATTTATAGGCTTTTTTGAGGTGCAGGTCGGGTACTCGATCGAGTATATACATATACTCGATCGAGTATGTGTAGAACTTCGAATTCGATCCATACTCGATCGATATTCGGGTATAATTCATAGCTATACCCGATCGAGTATGTCGGTGTACCCGATCGGGTATAGACACTCGATCGTGGTAAAATCTTCTCTGCATGTTCCTTTGTTTTCGGATCGGATCCGATTTGAAATTTCAACAAGATACTCGATCGAGTATAGGTAATACTCGACCGAGTATAGACCAAAATCAGGATCTTCCTTTTTTGTCTTGTGATTTTGCACCTTCTTTCCACTTTTGGGGTTCACCAACCATCCTTTGAGTGATGGTAGACCTATTTGAGCTCAGAATAAACCTAATCTAAACATTTTACAAGAATTTAACAAACTAAACTATTACACCAAAAGTGTGTAATTTCCGAAATGCTAAACTACAAAAAGTAACTAAAAATGCAAACATAAACACGGAAGTTACACGTGTATCAATCTTAAATCTCAAGCACACATACCAGCCAGCTCCTTCTCAAGAGCCTGAATTTTCTCTTATTGTTTCATTTGCCTCTCCATTAATTGAACCTCTTGCATCAGCTTTAAATAAAAAGTAACAGTTTACAGTGATATGAGTAAAAACAGAAGATATCTCAATAAAATTATGAAGTATAAATGGAGCAAACATTGATGGAATATCAGGAGCTTCAACAAATGGCTCTTTATTTATATCTTTCAACATTATCCTCCTCTGCACAAACCTCATTCAGTTCAGTTGAAGAACTCCCACCAAATATTCAGGAACCTGAAGAAATGGTTAAATATTGTTTGCATCTTCTTCAACCTGCTGTACCTTCCATTCGCCAGAATAGACTTCAGGGGCCTCATTAAATGGATAATTACTTTCTTTATCTCCCTCAATCTCCTCTCTGCATGCCTCATGGAGTCATCGAGTTCACTTTTGGTTATTGGAGGTGAAGAACAAGATTCCCATTCTCCCCCATTGTAATCCTCTGCCAAGGGTGAACTTGGACCTGAAGATGTGTGATTTTTGAACAGAGAGCTCACGTTTTCTGTTCAGAGGAAGCATGTGCATCCTTTTGTGGAATCGCTTCACTTGTAGATGCATTTTGCGGCTAACTGCCATCGTAAGGCAAAGGACCATTATAACGGTTTCACAGAATAAAACAACCGGCTTCGGATGTAGGTCTATGGTGATGAGAGGGACGAGCATAAGGCTGAGCTGAAGATGAAAACAAGCTGATCATCTTGGCTTTTTGAGAATGGTCCATCTCAAACCAAAAATGGCATGAGTGAGCTTGATCATAGTAGTTACCAGCAATGACAGGGTAAAACTGGTCTTTTTTCAAAGCATAGCACCTCTCGAACAGTCCATGCATATGGGTCAATATATATTTAGTTTTCCAGGGCCAACACCCTCAAATGTACCCAGAAGCTTCCGATCACTATAATTAAAAAGGAAGAGCGGCATGCCAGCACTAACCTTCATGACATAGGCAAAATGTCAAAATGGCAGACCTGAACAACAAAAATAAAACAAAGAATCATATCAGATTTGGTAGAAATTATAAAGAGTAGCATATTGATAAAACACAATGCATTTATAATTACATACAATACACAAATGTGGGATTCACCCATTACCAACTATGATTATACCAAAACAACATAACCATCAAATACTGCAAAAAATATTATTGGTGAAAAAGTACAATGCATGAAAGAGAGACATAGAGTGTAAGAGAAAATCCAAATAACAGCTTCGAAAAACATTCTTCAATTGTATGGCTTTTACAGCAAAAAATGACAGCTCCGAGGTCACTCTTCGGGAGGTTCCGAGTGGGCACACTGCAGTTGTGCTGTTGGATCGGTCGCCGTTCCTCATTGTCTGGTTTTTATTCTTCTTCATGGAACCCATTCAGTCAAAGTCTCCTACAAAATATCACACTTCAATAATACACTACATAAGTGATCAATCTGACAAGATGAAACACAAACAAATACCAATAATCACACAAAATAAGTTTCCCATCGCTTTTATCCCCTTCAAAATTCCATGATGAACCACTGGGATATCTCTCTGCACATAATATCCTGCATTGTTATGTCTCTGGTATGTACATTAACCCCGCATTGTTATTTCAACATTTACACGTATAAACAAATGTGTATGCCTATTTAAAGGTGTCTACATTCGATCTAGTACAGCCCGGAGAAGAAGGCAAGTAGAACATCGCCAAAATGTCATATCGTAGGCATGCCAATACAGCAAAGATTCGTATTTAGATGACACAATCAAAGCGAACATTACATAATAGATGCTATTTTAGTGCAACATTTGTGCAATATTAGTGCAACGGTGCAACATTAGGGCAACATCAGTGCAACATTAGGGCAGCATCAGTGCAACATCCTAAATATAACAAATAAGATTTGTTCAAATTTCTCACATTAGATGCATATATATAGGGAAGAGTTCAAATAAAAAGAGGTGTTCCCGTGCAAAGTGCGAACAGTTGCACTCTTTCCTCACAGCGTTGCACTTTTGCATGCTTCTGCTGCACTTTTACGCGGTGGCAAAAAATTTCGGATTATTTATGAAATTCCCACTGCGTTTTTATTCAATTTAGTGCATTTTTGGCTCATTTTGAGCCATTAGATGTGGCAATCAATGCACAAGATTCATTCTTACTTTGTATTTGAACCATCTCCAATTTTTTCTAATGGAAAGATTTTTTTTAAACTCGTAAAAATGTACAAATGCCAACGAAAGATAACAGCTAATGACGGATGAAAGCTAAAGACAGATGGAAGCTAAAGAATAAAGTTAAAACTATAGAAAAGAAAGTCTTCAGTTTCTGGAGGCGAGCCTTGCACTCCTTCTAGGAACCTTAAAATGGTTCCAAGAGGGATCTCCTGCGCGATCTAGAAGTTCTCGATCTGATAATCTTGTTGAAAAAACCATTCCCAATATATGTGTTCTTATTCTTTATCTTCCTCTATCTTAATAAAAGAGTAGTCATGTCATGCTATTTATCATTTTTGTCCTATTTTATTTTATTATTTTTATCATATCTTTTTTTATCGTTGTCTTGACATTTAATTATCATATCTTGCTTTTTATCGTACTTAGCTTTTATTTAGGGTTTAATGTACCCCTATGATTTAAAATATGCGTCAAACCCGTGTTATAATTAATCATACGCCAAACCCCCTCAAATAGGGCCAAGAGCCTCAAATGTACCTAGAAGCTTCACATCAGATTAGTTAAAAAGGAAAAACGGCAGGCCAGGACTAACTTTCTTGACATATGCAAAAGGTAGGTCCAATTGGCAGTCCTGGACCAACAAAAACAAAACAAAAAATCAATGCATAGATAATTACTACAACCGTTCCCCTAAGTTTGGGACAAGAGAAGGTGACACGTTTATTAATAAAAGTGGATTTGTATGGTTGATATTGAATTGATAAAGTAAGAATAAAGTAGGAATGATTTAGAACCACACTAACTTTATCAAATAAGGTATGAGACAATCTTAGTGGGACGGACCGAAATGGTAAAATTGGACAATCATAGCGGGACAAAGGGAGTATATACGAGTACAATACAGTGAATACACAAATGCGGGCTTCCCCATTACCAAATACGATTATACCAAACCAACACAACCATCAAATATGGCAAAAAAATTCTTGGTGAAAAAGTACAATGCATGAAAGAGAGACAAAGAGTATAAGTGAAAAACCAAATAACAACAAAAAATGATAGCTCCTCGATCACTCCTCGGGGAGTCGGGGGGTTTCAAGTTGGCACACTGCAATTGTTTTACATGGAATTATCTAAATTCATATCATCTCATTGATGTTTACCATAATGATGGCTAAATGCACATTTGGAATAACAAATCGAACCAATTCAGGGGTGTTTGGAACTGATTCTGTTTCTGCTTCTTTTTAAAGCAGAATCAGAATCAGTTTTCAGAAGATGGTCCTTCCAAATTCTAAAAAAACTGATTCTAGAATCACTTCTGCATTTTCACTCAAACACTCCAACTTCTGCATCGTGAAGTGCAGTTTTAGAATCAGATTCAAACACCCCCTCAATAGAAGTATAGTGAAGTGCATGCGTACCTGAATTGGCTGTCGTAGAACGATTGACAGGTGGTGGGCGAAGGATAGATGCGGGTTGGGGATATAGGCTTATACATACTCCCTCCGTCCCTTAAAACTTTGTCAACTTTCCTTTTTGGGACGTCCCAAAAAACTTTGTCACTTTCCATTTTAATCAATATTTTGTGGTTTCTGTTATTTCTCTCTCATCTGCACAAACTTCAACCATACAGTTTTTACTTATTATTCTCCGTGCTGGTCAACTTTGGCAAAGTTTTAAGGGACGGAGATAGTATATTACATAAAAAAAACGCCTTATTTAAGACCCCACAACCCAACAATTACATAAATGAACCTAAGATACACCCCTCATACACCCGAAAACAAATTCGAACTTGCTGAATAAACCTGAAATTCAAAAGCCATAATTACGGATATCCTATATGATAAATGTATTTCAAAGTCATCACAAGTCATGGCAAATGTCTTTGAATGAAATGCATAATTAAAGTCATCATAAAAGTATTAATGATACAACTGATTTTATAAATTATATAAAATTCTCAGTGTGTGCTCAAAATTTCTATCATTTAATATTGAAGTAGGTGAAATAATGATTAAGAAGTATAATAAATAAAATCATTAAAGGTTAATCATTTTAAAAAACATTACAGGACAACTAATGCATCTAATTAATCTTTAATTGCTGAAACTACAACATATGGGATTAACAGAAGTTCATAGAATTTAAGTTATACTCTGTATATCCAAATTCTAGAACAACCCGGAGAAGAAGGCAGTAGCACATGGTCATACAACAAATATTCGTATTCTAGTGATGAAATAAACAAAGCAAACATAGCATAATAGCGAGATCCTTCAAAAATCACCAAAAAAGTTGGATAAACAAACTAGCTTAGTTTCCAGAACAGGAAACTTGAAAGGAGGATAAAAGTCGTTGAAAAACGTACTACTTTACGCATAACAAGTAAAGCTTTAGGATAGCAATTCTTAAGTAAATTTAAATTTAGATTTTGAAACTTTATAAAGATTTTAATGTTGTTTCTGAATATATAAATTTTAATTATTAAAATTGATTAATTATTAAAATTTAAAGTTGACCAAAATATGTTGACTTTGCAAAAAAAATTGGGACGGGTGCAATTATTTTACACTAACACCAGAAGAATATATATTATCAAAGTGAAGATATATAATATCAAAGTTAAAATCTACAATTAAAAAAGAAGAATATTAACATAATTTTTCATTGACACATTTCAACAAACTTATTTAACCTAACTGAAAAATATTACTCTGTCACGGGTTAGTTCCATATTAGACAGAAAGAACTAACGTCAACAAACCAAACTATTTTACTGTTGATATATTGTTGAGTGAAACCTTTGAAAGATGGGATCCGTAATAATAACCAGAAACTTAAAATCCATGTTTGGTATGATGTAATGAATCTTGTAATGTAATGAGTATTACGTGTTTATCCGAATACGATGTTTGGTACTTCGTGCGGCAGTTTTAAAATGTAATGTAATATTTGCCTCTCCTTCAGCAGTTGAACCTCTTGCATCAGCTTCAAATAAAAAAATAACAGTTATATGAAGAGATATCTAGATAAAGTTATAAAGGATAAATGGAGCTACCATTGATAGAATATCCTCAGGAATTTCAACAAATGCCTCTTCAAATCCTTCAACATTATCCTCCTCTCTCTCCCATTCCCCAGAGTAGACTCTAGGAGCCTCAATAAATGGATCATTACTTTCCTTCTCTCCCTCAATCTCCTCTCTCCATGCCTCATGGAGTTCAGTACTTTTGCTTATGGGAGGAGAAGAACAAGATTCATATTCTCCCCAATTGTAATCCTCTGGCAAGGGAGAACTTGAAAAGAGAGCTCTGGTTTTCTGTTTAGGGGGATAATGTTCATCCTTTTGTGGAAGAACTTCACTTGTAGATGCATTTTGCGGCTTACTGCCATCACAAGGCAATGAAGCATTATAACGGTTTTGTGGAATAGAACGACCGGCTTCAGATGTAGGTCTATGGTGATGAGAAGGATGAGCATAATGTTGGGTTCTTTCTTTATTTTTGACCCATGAGGAAAGCCCAACTCTTGAGCCCATCAAAAGTCTTCTTTGACTTTCTATTTTGGGAGCTAATATTAAAAACAGGGTCTGCCATCTATCTATTACTCATGGACAGAAAGAGAGCAGCAGATAAGTGAGAACAATCACAAAACATGAGCTGAAGTGTGCTCATCCCGTTTTTCCAGCAGCAGCAGCAGAAAAATTCCGTTTCCCGGAGATTGAACCGTTGGATCGTCGTGATTTTTGGACAGCAGCTTCACAGCATCAGGGCCAATATTCTGGACGGTGGAGATCGGGTTTTGTGGTCCGGAGGTCGGGTTTTGTTGGTCTGGACAGTAGCTATTTTCTGGTGATATATTTTCTTATCTTGGCTCTATTTGATTCCATACACCTTGATGTTCTTACTTCCAAGGATATGATGATGTTGTATGCCTCTAGTATTATCTAGAGAAGATTGTGTACTGCTCCTTTGATGATGATAGTGGATTTAAGCGGCCAAAATGGTCCCGTGGTTTTTCCCTAGTTAACGGGTTTTCCACGCTAAAATTCCGGTGTTTTTGTGTGGTGTGTGCTTACTGTTTTAGCTCATTATATTGGTGTGTGGCAGCCATATTGTGTGTTCTAATTGTATTAAGAACACCCTATTTGTTTGCATCCTCAAAGGTTCATTCAAGTTGGGGAAAGTTTAGCCAAACGGAGATTAATTCCGCATTTTATTAGTTCCGTTTGGGGCTGTTTTTCCCCATCAAATTGGTATCAGAGCCAGGTTCTTCTGTATTGGGTTAGACTTGTTTGAATGATGGAAGCAAACACAAGTAGGATGATCAATTTGAATGGTTCTAATTATCATGTTTGGAAAGGCAAAATGGAAGACCTACTTTATGTGAAGGATTATTATTTGCCTGTGTTTACTACTGATAAACCTGAGAGTAAAACAGATGCAGAGTGGAATATTTTGCATAGACAGGTTTGTGGGTATATTCGCCAATGGGTTGATGATAATGTTTTGAACCATATTAGCGGGGAAACTCATGCTCGCAGTTTGTGGAACAAGCTTGAACAGTTGTATGCTCGAAAGACCGGGAACAATAAATTGTTCTTAATAAAACAGATGATGAGCTTGAAATACCATGATGGAACTCCTGTCACTGATCATTTGAATTCTTTTCAGGGAATCATAAATCAACTTGCAGGAATGGGTATCAAGTTTGAAGATGAGATACAAGGCTTGTGGCTCCTTGGCACTTTACCGGACTCATGGGAGACTTTTAGGACATCATTGTCCAACTCTGCACCAGATGGTATTATCACCATGGAATTAGCTAAAGGCAGTGTTTTAAATGAAGAGATGAGAAGAAAGTCACAAGGTTCCTCTTCACATTCTGATGTCTTAGTTACAGAAAGCAGGGGGAGAAGTCAGAGTAGAGGTCCAGGTAACAAAGGGAAGCATCGAAGTAAATCCAAAGGAAAATTTGCTGATTTTGAGTGCTATCATTGTGGTAGAAAAGGCCACACAATACGGTTCTGCAGGCAATTGAAAAAGGAGAAGAAGAAGAGCGATTACAACAATCAAAAGAACCATAAGAAAGATGAGGGTGGTAATGGCAATGCTGAAGTTAACAGTGCTACCGATGAGTTCCTTATTTGTTCTGATCTTGATATGGTCAACATTGCACATGATGATTCCAGTTGGGTTGTTGATAGTGGTGCTACTTGTCATGTAACATCACAGAGGGATTTTTATTCATCTTACACTCCAGGTAACTTTGGTAATGTTAGGATGGGTAATAATGGACTATCAAAGATTGCAGGCATCGGAGATATTTGTTTGAAGTTTGACACTGGGATAGAGTTGGTTTTACATAATGTAAAACATGTTCCAGATATGAGACTTAATTTGATCTCCGCAGGCTTACTTGATGATGATGGTTACAGCAACAACTTTGGTAATGGAATATGGAAACTCACTCGTGGTTCTTTGATCGTGGCTAGAGGTAAAAGATGCTCAAAGTTGTACATGACACATCCGAAGATCTTCAAGGATAGGGTCAATGCTGTGGTGAACACTGACATGACTGATTTATGGCATAAGAGACTTGGTCACATGAGTGAAAAGGGGATGTCTCTTTTGTTGAAGAGAAATGTGTTACCGGGTGTGCATGATATTCATCTAAAGAAGTGTTCTCACTGTTTGGCAGGTAAACAGAACAGGGTCTCCTTTAAGAGCCATCCTCCTTCCAGGAAGGAGAGTATACTTGATTTGGTGCATTCTGATGTTTGTGGTCCTATGAAGACTAGGACACTTGGTGGTTGCTCCTACTTTGTCACATTCATTGATGATCACTCCAGAAAGGTATGGGTTTATACCTTGAAATCTAAAGATCAAGTATTTGAGGTGTTTAAGCAGTTTCATGCCTCGGTTGAGAGACAGACTGGAAAGAAGCTCAAGTGTATTCGGACAGATAATGGAGGGGAATACATTGGCCCCTTTGATGCTTATTGTAGAGACCATGGTATTCGACATCAAAAGAGTCCTCCCAAGACACCGCAGCTGAACGGATTAGCAGAGCGGATGAACAGAACTTTGATGGAGCGTGTCAGATGTTTGTTGTCACATGCAGGGCTGCCAAATACATTCTGGGGAGAAGCTTTGAATACAGCGGTACATGTTATTAATCTAACTCCTTGTGTTCCTTTGTCTTTTGATGTACCTGACAGGGTTTGGAGTGGCAAAGATGTCTCTTACCGTCATTTAAGGGTCTTTGGATGCAAAGCTTTTGTGCACATTCCTAAAGATGAAAGATCAAAGCTTGATGTGAAGTCCAAACCATGTGTTTTCTTGGGTTATGGCCAAGATGAGTTTGGTTACAGATTATATGATCCAGTCCACAAGAAACTTATTCGAAGTCGAGATGTTGTGTTTGTGGAAGATCAGAACTTGAAAGATGTTGAGAAGAAAGATACAGTTCCTCAACATAATGATGATGTTACTGATTTGGATCCAGTGCCTCCTCAACATGTAGAACCACCTCTTGATAATGATGTTCAGAATGATGAACAACATGATACTGATACTCCAGAACAGCCAGAGGTGGATGAAGAATTTCATTCAGAGATACCAGTACCAGACGTGCCACCATTTATCCCACTTAGGCGGTCTACAAGAGATCGTCATCCTTCCACCCGTTTTTCAGCTAATGAGTATGTCTTACTCACTGATGGGGGAGAGCCTGAGTGTTATGCAGAGGCCATGGAAGATGAGCACAAAAGGGAGTGGGTTGAAGCCATGCAAGATGAGATGAATTCCTTACATGAAAATAATACATTTGAGTTGGTGAAGTTGCCTAAAGGCAAGAGAGCTCTGAAGAACAAGTGGGTCTACAAAGTGAAGACTGAAGAGCACACCTCACAACCTAGGTACAAGGCTAGATTGGTGGTCAAAGGGTTCAGTCAGAGAAAGGGTATTGATTTTGATGAGATTTTCTCTCCGGTCGTGAAGATGGGATCTATTCGTGTTGTTCTGGGTTTGGCAGCCAGCCTTGATCTTGAGGTTGAACAGATGGATGTCAAAACAGCTTTTCTTCATGGTGACTTGGATAAAGAAATCTACATGGAGCAACCTGAAGGGTTTCAGGTTAAGGGAAAAGAAGGCTATGTGTGTAGACTTCAAAAGAGTCTTTATGGGTTGAAGCAAGCACCAAGACAGTGGTACAAGAAGTTTGAGTCAGTTATGGGGGAGCAAAATTACCGAAAGACTACTTCAGACCATTGTGTTTTCTTCCAGAGGTTCGATGATGATGATTTCATTATTTTATTGTTATATGTTGATGACATGTTAATTGTTGGCAAGAATGCAGAAAGAATTACTCAGCTGAAGATGCAATTGAGCAAGTCTTTTGCTATGAAAGACTTGGGGCCAGCAAAACAGATTCTTGGCATTCGGATCACTCGAGATAGAGCTTTGAAGAAGCTACACATGTCACAGGAGCAATACATTGAGAAGGTGCTTCGCAGATTCAACATGGACAAAGCTAAAGAGGTTAGTTCACCTCTTACTACCAACTTCAGGTTGACAGATAAAGATTGTCCATCTTCTGAGAAGAAGATTGAAGAGATGGATAGAGTTCCTTATGCCTCAGCTGTAGGGAGCTTGATGTATGCTATGGTGTGCACACGACCTGATATTGCTCATGCAGTAGGTGTTGTTAGTCGTTTTCTGTCAAATCCAGGTAAGAAGCATTGGGAAGCAGTGAAGTGGATTCTCAGATATCTACGTGGTACTTCCAAATTGGGTATAACATTTGGAAATGGGAAGCCAATACTTGTTGGTTATACTGATTCTGATATGGCAGGAAATAAGGACAACATGAAATCCACTTCTGGATATTTGATGACTTTTGCAGGGGGAGCTGTGTCATGGCAATCGAGACTGCAAAAGTGTGTGGTTCTATCCACCACCGAGGCTGAGTATGTGGCTGCAACAGAAGCGTGTAAGGAGCTATTATGGCTCAAAAGATTTATGCAAGAGATTGGCTTTATGCAACAACGCTACGTGATTCTTTGTGATAATCAAAGTACCATTCACCTTGCCAAAAATTCTATGTTTCACAAACGAACCAAACATATCGATGTGAGGTATCATTGGATTAGAGATGCACTTGAAGACAAACTGTTTGAACTTGATAAAGTTCATACCGATGATAATGGTGCCGATATGTTGACGAAGGTTCTAGCAAGGGAAAAATTGAAGGTATGTTGCTCCATCGCCGGTATGGCGAACTCTTCCTCATAAGTAAAAAAGGGGGAGATTTGTTGGGTTCTTTCTTTATTTTTGACCCATGAGGAAAGCCCAACTCTTGAGCCCATCAAAAGTCTTCTTTGACTTTCTATTTTGGGAGCTAATATTAAAAACAGGGTCTGCCATCTATCTATTACTCATGGACAGAAAGAGAGCAGCAGATAAGTGAGAACAATCACAAAACATGAGCTGAAGTGTGCTCATCCCGTTTTTCCAGCAGCAGCAGCAGAAAAATTCCGTTTCCCGGAGATTGAACCGTTGGATCGTCGTGATTTTTGGACAGCAGCTTCACAGCATCAGGGCCAATATTCTGGACGGTGGAGATCGGGTTTTGTGGTCCGGAGGTCGGGTTTTGTTGGTCTGGACAGTAGCTATTTTCTGGTGATATATTTTCTTATCTTGGCTCTATTTGATTCCATACACCTTGATGTTCTTACTTCCAAGGATATGATGATGTTGTATGCCTCTAGTATTATCTAGAGAAGATTGTGTACTGCTCCTTTGATGATGATAGTGGATTTAAGCGGCCAAAATGGTCCCGTGGTTTTTCCCTAGTTAACGGGTTTTCCACGCTAAAATTCCGGTGTTTTTGTGTGGTGTGTGCTTACTGTTTTAGCTCATTATATTGGTGTGTGGCAGCCATATTGTGTGTTCTAATTGTATTAAGAACACCCTATTTGTTTGCATCCTCAAAGGTTCATTCAAGTTGGGGAAAGTTTAGCCAAACGGAGATTAATTCCGCATTTTATTAGTTCCGTTTGGGGCTGTTTTTCCCCATCACATAAGGCTGAGCTGAACATGAAAACAAGCTGAACATCTTAGCTGTTTGAGAATGGTCCATCTCAAACCAAAAATGGCGTGACTGACTAAAATAGTTATCAGCAATGACAGGGCAAAACTGGTCTTCCTTCAGAGCATAGCAGCTTTGAAACATTTTAATTTTGACCTTAAAAGACAAGTCACACAGAATGGTAAGATGACTATTTTTAGGCACGTGAAACCTTCATTTGGTATGAATATTTACCTTAAAAGACACAAATGGTTTGATCGTGTTGGTACCTGTGCAGGAAAGTCTGTTTCGCAGTCAGCCCCATTAGTCCATGCATATGGCTCATTATTTAGTTTTCCTGGGCCAGCAGCCTCAAATGTGCCCAGAAGCTTCCGATCATTGTAATTAAAAAGGAAAAGCGGCATGCCAGCACTAACCTTCTTCATATAGGCAAAATGTCCAAATGGCAGCCCTGAACAACAAAAATGAAACAAAAATTAAATCAGATTTGCTAAATAATTATAATGAGTACCATATTGATAAAACTCAATGCATATATGCAGATGCAGGATTCACCCATTTTAGTGTAACAATATTGCAACATTAGATGTTATTCTAGTGCAACTTTAGATGTTGTTTTAGTGCAACATCGTGCAAAATTTAAATCTTCATGCAACATTAGTGCAACATTAAATGCTATTTTAGTGCAACATTAGTGCAACATTAGATGTTGTTAAGTGCAACATTAGTGCAACATTTGATGCTATTTTAGTGCAATATTAGTGCAACATCGTAAATCCAACGACTGAAATTTATTCACATTTCTCACCTTAGATGCATTTGTCACCTGAACCAATATATGTGTGTGTTTTATTTTTTATATCTCTCTTTTTAATAAAAGAGTATTCATGCTATTTATCGTTTTTGTCTATTTTATTTTATCATTTTTATTGTATCGTATATTGTCTTTTTTATCTTGTCTTACTTTTTACCCTTTTTAGCTTCTATTTCGAAATTTTAGAGGTTTGTGAAAATATAATGGTATTCACAAATACATTGATCAAGTATGTGTTGGATTCCTCTCAGGTTAGTTCCATATTAGACAAAGAATAACTTAAAGAAACCAATTCTACCCTCTAAAAAATATACATTGAACAAACACAGCTGAAATCTCCCCTCTAAAAAAAATCCAATTCTCAGAACAATCAAAGGAGACATCTTATTCTTCATATTATTGTTGTTAGCGGCATTCATTAACATCAGTCACTCTCCGAGACCTATACACGATTTCATTCCAAAGTTATAATTAATTAAGAACAAATAGATTTAGAGCATCTTATTCTTTCTCTATTTCAAAGAAACTACACTGCGACAGTATTATTGCTATGGTTTGAAATCCAAGACACTATATGTACCTTGACCCGACTGACCCGATTTATATCCGTGATTTTGAGCGGGAAAGTGGGCTCTTTTTTCTCTTCCTTTTGTATATGTATAGATATAGATTAGACAGAAAGTACTAACGTAAAGAAACTAAAATATTTTACTCTTGATTGTTGAGTGAAACCTTTGAAAGATGGGATCCGCGATAATGACCAGAAACTTAAATCTCAAGCACACATACCGATGCCAGATCCTTCTCAAGAGCCTGAATTCTCTCTTCTTGTTCGATTTGCCTCCCTTTCAGTAGTTGAACCTCTTGCATCAGCTTCAAATAAAAGATAACAGTTTGAATAAAAACAGAAGATATCTCATATCTACATGAAATTAAAAAGGATAAATGGAGCTACCATTGATAGATTACCAAGAGCTTCAACAAATGGCTCTTCATATGTTTCAACTCTGTGCTCTGCACACACTCCATTCAGTTCGTTTGAAGAACTTCCACCCACCGAATATTCAGGGACCTGAAGAAATGGTGGAATATTGTCTACATTTCCTTCAACCAGCTCTCCCTCCCATTCCCACGAATAGATTCCAGGAGCCTCAATAAATGGATGAATACTTTCTTTATCTCCCTCAATCTCCTCTCCCCATGCCTCACGAAGTTAAGTTTTGGTTGTTGGGAGTGGGGTACAAGATTCCAACTCTCCCCCATTGTAATGTTCTGTCAAGGGTGAAGTTGGGTGTGAAGACGCAATCTTCAACCGCTCATATTTGCTCACCATATAAGCGGATGTGTCATTTATGAACAGAGAGATCCATGTTTTCTCTTCAGAGGATGGATGTGCATCCTTTTTTTAAATAACTTCACTTGTAGATGCATTGTGCGGGTTACTGCCATCATAAGGCAAAGAAGCATTATAACGATTTCAGGGAATAGAACAGCTGGCTTCAGATCTATGGTAATGAGAAGGATGAGCATAAGGCTGAGCTGAAGATGAAAACAAGTTGATCATCTAAGCTGTTTGAGAATGGTCCATCTCAAACCAGAAATGGCGTGACTGATCATAGTAGTTGTCAGCAATGATGGGGTAGAACTGCTCTTCCATCAAAGCATAGCAGCTCTCGAACATTTTAATATTGACCTTGAAAGACACAGAATGGTAAGATGAACATTTATAGGCATGTATGAATATTAACCTTAAAAGACAAATGGTTCAATCGTGTTAGTACTTAGTACATGTGTAGGAAAGTCTGTTTCACGGTCTGCCCCATTAGTCCATGCATATGGGTCAATATTTAGTTTCCCCGAGCCAAGAGCCTCAAATATACCCAGAAGCTTCCGATCACTGTAATTAAAAAAGAAAAGCGGCATGCCAGCACTAACCTTCTTTATATAGGCAAAATGTCCAAATGACAGCTCTGAACAACAAAAATGAAACAAACATTAAATCAGATTTGCTAAATAATTATAATGAGTACCATTTGAAAAAACTCAATGCATATATGCAGATGCAGGATTCACCCATTTTAGTGTAACATTAGTGCAACATTAGATGTTATTCTAGTGCAACTTTAGATGTTGTTTTAGTGCAACATCGTAAAATTTAAATCTTCATGCAAAATTAGTGCAACATTAGATGCTATTTTAGTGCAACATTAGTGCAATATTAGTGCAACATTAGATGTTGTTAAGTGCAAAATTAGTGCAACATCTGATGCTATTTTAGTGCAATATTAGTGCAACATCGTAAATCCAACGATTGAAATTTATTCACATTTCTCACCTTAGATGCATTTTTCATCTGAACCAATATATGTGTGTGTTTTATGCTTTATCTCTCTCTTTTTAATAAAAGATTAGTCATGTTATTTATCATTTTTGTCTATTTTATCTTATCATTTTTATTGTATCGTATATTGTCTTTTTTATCTTGTCTTACTGTTTACCCTTTTTAGCTTCTATTTCGAAATTTTATAGGTTTGTGAAAATATAATGGTATTCACAAATACGTTGATCAAGTGTGTGTTGGATTCCTCTCAGGTTAGTTCCATATTAGACAAAAAAAACTTAAAGAAACCAATTCTACCCTCTAAAAAATATACATTGAACAAACAAGGCTGAAATCTCCACTCTAAAAAATATCCAATTCTAAGGACAATCAAAGGAGACGCCACAAGAGAGCTATCTTCATAGTATTGTTGTTAGCCGCATTCATTAACATCAGTCACTCTTCGAGACCTATACTCAATCTCATTCCAAAGTTATAATTAAGAACAAATAGATTTAGAGCATCTTATTTTTACTCTATTTTAAAGAAACTACACTGCGACAGTATTATTGCTATGGTTCAAAATCCAAGACACTATATGTACCTTGACCCGACTGACCCGATTTATATCCGTGATTTTGAGCGGGAAAGTGGGCTCTTTTTTCTCTTCCTTTTGTATATAGATAGATTAGACAGAAAGTACTAACGTAAAGAAACTAAAATATTTTACTCTTGATTGTTGGGTGAAACCTTTGAAAGATGGGATCCGCGATAATGACCAGAAACTTAAATCTCAAGCACACATACCGATGTCAGATCCTTCTCAAGAGCCTGAATTGTCTCTTCTTGTTCGAGTTGCCTCTCTTTCAGTAGTTGAACCTCTTGCATCAGCTTCAAATAAAAGATAACAGTTTGACTGAGCTTGATCATAGTACTTATCACTTATCAGCAATGACAGGGTAAAACTGGTCTTCTTTCAAAGCATAGCAGCTCCCGAACATTTTGATTCCATCCACAAATATCCAATTTATCATGTTAACACTTGTGCAGGAAAGTCTGTTTCGTGGTCTGCCCCATTAGTCCATGCATATGGGTCAGTACTCAGTTTTTAGTGGCCAGCAGCCTCAAATGTACCCAGAAGCTTCCGATCACTATGATTAAACAGGAAAAGCAGCATGCCAGGACTAACCTTCTTGACATATGCAAAATGTCCAAATGGCAGTCCTGACCAACAATAACAAAACCAAAAATGCCAATCAGATTGGGTAGAAATTATAATGAAGAGCATTCTTCAAATGTATGGCCTTTATAACAGGCTTACAGCCAAAAATGACAGCTCCGAGATCACTCTTCGGTAGATTCCGAGCTGCACACTGCAGTTGTACTATTGGATAGGTTGTTGTTCCTTCGCCGCCTGGTTTTTATTCTTCTTCGTATAACCCATTCAATTAAAGTCTCCTACAGATTATTACAACTCAACATACACTTCATAAATGATCAATCTGACAAGCCAAAACATAAACGAATACCAAAAATCACACAAAATAAGATCCACTTGGTTTTTATTCCCTTCAAATTTTCAAGCTGTACCACTGCTTATTGGATAAATCCCTGCACATACAATCCCGCAGTGTTATGCCTTTATGGTACATTAATC